GGGCGGCGGATGGGGGCAAGCCCCCGGGGATCATCTTCCTGGTGTCTTGATTACTTATCCTAAATACTTAAGCTAGGGTGGCAAGGTTGGCGGGTGCGGGCCCCGGCTGATCGAACGGTGTTCAATGTCATCGCCAGGGCCGACCTCAAATGGAGAAAAGGGGGGGGGGGTTGGTGAGCAGGTCTGGACATGGTCGGCGACTCCGGGGCTGCACGCCTATTAGTCGGCCCAGCACATGTGGGGACTTTTGGAGACTCGGCCTGCCCATTGAGTTTCCAAGAAGAGGATAGACAAAGCAGCGCTCTCACTCCCACACGCTTCGGCCGCTGTGCCATCCCTGACGGGGCTGCGCTCATGCAGCCCGGGGAGGCTGGGGACCGGACGTAATAAAAACCAGTGAGGCAAATTGGGGGAGAGGCTGTCAATGACCTATTCCTTGTCCTTGGTCCCTCGCGGGGCAGGCGTCCTGCAGCATGTTTGTGCAGCCCGGGAGAGGCATGACGGGCCGCAAGGCCCGAAACGCAAGCCCATTGAGAAAATGTCCAAAACACACTTCCAAGAAAGTTCAGAAAATACCTGCAACCCTACAAGCTTTACCCGGACAAGTCCGACGCATCGGGCGGAAATCGGACAGTCCGACGGGAGCTCTCGGGCGCCAATCGGACTGTCCGAGTTTGTCGGGCGAAAATCGGACAGTCCGGGTCTGTCGGGTAAAAACGGAGCAGTCCGACTCGGGCGACTCGGGCTTTTTAGACTGGTGGACATTCCCAGAAAACATTCTCTATTTTACACCGAGCGGCATTTCGTGCGACATTTGTCAACGTTGCGGTTCTAGGGTATTTGGACCCCGCTAAATCCAAATCCGAATGTTGTCAAGCCGAATTTCGCCTCCGAAGGCCCAAAATCCAAGATGGCGGCCAAACTAAGGGCCTAAATTACATTTTTCTTACAGTGCATCGATATGGTCAGGCGATATGTCGTTTCCTATGTTTTTGGGGTCGCTGAACACGAATATGGGCACCGGAAGTCGATTCGGGTACCGGAAGTACCATAACTCAAGATGGCGGCCATCAGGGGCCTAAATACAGAACTTCCTGGAGTTGCGGTATTGTCGAGTGCAGCGCATCGGCACATATGTTTTCGACATCAGCCAGTTCAAAACTTAGCACCAGAAATCGATTTGGACACCGGAAACACCGCAATCCAAGATGGCGGCCGACTGGGGCCTAAACACCCAACATTTAAAAGTTACTGTAGCATGACGTGCTGGGTATCGCCTCGGGTACTTTTGAGGCCGCTGATCACGAATTTAAGGTCGGGAAAGCGATAGGAACACTTATTTCATTTTAAAAACACATTTTGCAGGATTATTACAGAAATTCAATCAATTTAATGCAAAAATTTTATTTTTGTGTTGTGAAGAATTTGAAACTAGTTATGGAAAACACACTCCCATCTATGAGTTCTTTTGAGATCTCTGTAGCTCCTGCTTGTGTATTAGTGCTGCCGTCTAGCGGCGAGAGGTGGAAGCCTTGGTTGCAAGGTATTCCCCTCGCTGTTTACTTGTTTTTGTGCTGCCGTCGTCGAGGTTCCAAACACCTTGCCTGCCGGAGGAAACGACCATCTGCTAATTGACGGACAAGCGCTCATTATGAGCACGGACAGGCCAAAAAATGCACTAACATTTGGTGACCTGGCCAATGCTGTAACGAACAGGATTAGATACATGAGCTTAAATCACCAAAGAGTGGAAATAGTTTTTGACAGGTAAGCAATTTTTGTACTGACACTCAGAGTACTTATCACTTTATTAATTTTTAATGGATTATTCCGTGTTACAGATACAATAAGCTATCCATTAAAGCTGGAACGCGACAGAAGCGAACTGCATCTTCACGCCCTATTCGCAAGGCTATAACGTCAGGAGCAGTGCCCCTTCCAAAGAGTTGGTCCAACTATGTCGCGGTTCCTGAGAACAAAGCTGAACTAGCAGCTTTCATATCAAATGAAATATTGTCAGCCGATTTCGGGCAGACAACCGTAGTTGTCGCTGGAGGGTTCGCTGACGAACTTCAAGTATCTGCGAGCAATGGGGTGGATTTCTCTTCCTTGCAGTCTACGCACGAAGAGGCTGATACCCGCCTTGTCCTCCATGCAGTTAACAGTCCACACAGCAGAGTTGTCGTGTCCGCAAGAGACACAGACGTATTTGTCTTGCTCCTGCATCATTTTAAGAGAATGAAATGCAATGAATGCTTTATGATGGCTGGCACTGCGAAGGATAGAAAGTACGTACCTGTTCATACGGTGGCAGCGTCAATGACTCCCACGGAGCTAAACAATATCCCCATATTCCATGCTCTGACCGGCTGCGACACTACGTCATTTATAGCAGGTGGGTATCCAGTTAACTTTTCTTCTTATAATTTTTCTTAGCTGAATTTATTGTCGTTGCTTATTTCAATTCATGTTACAGGTGTAGGAAAGAGAAGTGCCCTGGTTGTGTACCGCTCACATTCCAAGCTTCTTGATGGACTGACAGTGGGGGAAGTACATGAGAGAGTTCTATCGAAGTTTGAGCAATTCCTGGTACTCTTGTACAAGAAAAAGGAAAAGACTTGTAACGAAGCAAGACGAATTCTTTTTGGAAAAGTTTCAAGTCCTGAATTGCTCCCACCCACGTCTGACGCAGCCCGTCTCCATATCCTCCGAACCACGTACCAAGCTGGTGTCTGGTTGAGTGCACACATAGCAAGACCGAACCTTCCCGATCCTTGCCAGTACGGATGGCGGCTTGAAGAAAATTACATCCCTATCTACACTTCCCTCCCAGCTGTCCCCGAGTCCTGCAAACAGCTTCTCAGTTGTGGCTGCAAGTCCGGGTGCAATACTGGCTTATGCAAGTGCAAGCGGGAGGGAGAGGTTTGCACCATGTTGTGCAGGTGCCAGGCAGACTGCGGAAATAACAATGAAAATGATAACGTGTTCCAGTAAAATGTATTTTATTACATATTCATGTATGTATTTTTTAACCAGTTTTGTTAAAGCCAAAGAATTCCAAAGTATGTTTTTAGAATAAAATATGTGTTCCTATCGCTTTTCCGACCTTAAATTTGTGTTCAGCGGCCTCAAAAGTACCCGAGGCGATACCCAGCACGTCATGTTACCGTAACTTTTAAATGTTGGGTGTTTAGGCCCCAGTCGGCCGCCATCTTGGATTGCGATGTTTCCGGTGTCCAAATCGATTTCTGGTGCTAAGTTTTGAACTGGCTGATGTCGAAAACATATGTGCCGATGCGCTGCACTCGACAATACCGCAACTCCAGGAAGTTCTGTATTTAGGCCCCTGATGGCCGCCATCTTGAATTATGGTACTTCCGGTACCCGAATCGACTTCCGGTACCGATATTCGTGTTCGGCGACCCCAAAAACATAGGAAACGACATATCGCCTGGCCATATCGATGCACTGTAACAAAAATGTCATTTAGGCCCTTAGTTTGGCCGCCATCTTGGATTTTGGGCCTTTGGAGGCAAAATTCGGCTTGACAACATTCGGATTTGGATTCAGCGGGGTCCAAATGCCCTAGAACCGCTACGTTGACAAATGTCGCACGAAATGCCCCTTAGAGAAAAAATTCTGCAAATGTCCACCAGTCTATTTAGCCCGACCGAGTCGGGCTCCGGATCTTTTCTGGAGCGAGTCCGAGAGCGATCGGACTGATTGCGGTACAAGTCCGAGGCCTCAGAGGGTCTCGGACTCTTTACGGTACAAACCCGGATACATTTTCGGATGAGTTCGTTTTCACAAGGG